CTTTCTAGCTCTATGTCCCTGGAAGCCTGATAAGGTGGTGTCTTAAGTTAGGTTTCCCAGGTAACAGATTCTGAAGTTGCATGTAAGAAGTTTGTTGGGGGATTCTCTTGGGATCAGCACCTGTAGGAGAGCAAAACAATAGATTTTGGTCCAAGGAGTTGAACTTCAATATAGTCACAACAAAGGCCTCATCTAACTCCTTGGTGATCTCTGGATCTGGGTTGGCTTTTCAGAGATGTCCTGCCTTGAGGCAAGAGATAGGTCCTTTATAGATCCACATCATCTCAACCAGACATTGGATGTAAATTGCCTCAGAGGTGGGATTGTAACTTTAGTCAAGATAGCTTTATTTGGCTGCGGGCAATTCCTAGAGAGTACCTCAGTTAAAGCTATCCGCTGCCAAGTGTGCCACTTGCACGCTCAGAAAATGAGTGCCTCTAACTAAAGGAGGCTCTGGGAAACATACCATGGCATCCACTCTAAGTGATTGGTTGCTGGGCAACACTGCCTATGGTAGAAAATGACCCCTGGTTGGTAAACTGCATCTGGATTAGAAGGAATTATAATGGACTATAAAAATCATAAGTTTGATCTTCCCTGAGGGTAGTAACTCTTGTAATTGGGCAAGTCCCTTGCAGACAAGGACCCTGGAAGCCATGCCTATGGAGTTGTTGCAAGAGGTATTGGCTTCTGTAGGTTATAAGACTTTTAAGGCAGGATAACTCCTGTATCTGCCCAAGGTGAGTCCGATTCCCTCACTCCTGAGCTAACACCCCATGGGCCAAAGAGAGTAACTCCCACAAGGTTCTGTGTTGTGTCTGCTACAGGAACTGCTGTGAGGCTTCCATTAAAAAGAATGCCTGCTGCTGCCCTGATGGCAAACTGTGATTCCTACCCTGGATCTTTTTGGGTCAATGTGTGTCAAGTGTGGCCTAGAATAATCTTGTATAATGGTTTAGTTGTGCCTATGGATAACCCCCTAAGTAGGTGTTAAAGACATTTTTTTTCAATTGAGTCTGGCTTTTTAGAACATTAGGTTTTAAAATCTAAAACTAAAGAATAATTTGATGACCTTACAGTCAGGCTGAAAATATTTAAGTACTTGGGGCACATGGATACTTGAGATTTCTTTTTCCTGCTGCTCATAGACCATTTTAACAGATATCGCCATAGACTGTGGAAGAAAAGACTCAGCTATAATACTAATCTCTGAAAACACTAGTCTTTATATGTGAACAGGGGAAAGAACTGTTAGTTCTTAGCTCTCCTTTAGTCATAGATGGGACATTTGGGCCTGGTTGGCAGTTTCCCTTATATATCAAAGTTTTGCTGATTTTTCCTCTGAAATTACTTATTCCACCCCTTCCTTTCCATTCACTCTGCCATCACCCGAAGTAGTGGGAGAGTCTGTTACTGCTGAACTGCTCCCTTGGAAGTGTTCTCACCTTTAGGTTTTGCTTAGTCTGAGCTGCATTACCCATGAGATCCCAGACTGGATTTCATGATAGCAGTTTTGTCTAGGATTTTCAGCTATTCATGTGTAATCCAGATTTTCCCTGGAGCATGAATAAGATCCCTGGAAATAGTAAGAAGGAAGGCTGGAAAGATGGGTTTAGAGATGTTGGCTAAAGAGTTCCAGTTATTTATTTTGTAGGCAGTGGCAACCATTTCAGTAAATGACCTTTCAGGCAGGAGAGTGAGTTGATCAGAGCCAGGCTTCAGCAAGATTAAGGTGGCAACAAAGTAAAGGGAGAGACTAAAAGAAATGAGACTAGTTAAGAATCCATTGTAGGAGGACTCAAAATGAGGTGGGAATGAGAGGGGTGGGACAGATAGGCTCTCAACAGTATAAAGGAAGAATTAGTGACTGTGAGAAGAAAGCAGGCAGGACTTCGCTGAGGTCAGGTAGTGTGAATTTATAACAGACCCATTGGACTTGGTGTCAGGACAGTCCATCAGGAATAGAGAAAGTAATACTCCTCACACACTAATGCCGCTCCTCTCTTTATGTATTAAACCCTTATGAAATTGCAAACACATTGAAGGCCAGGATCATGGCTTAGCTCGTATCATCCTTACATTTCCACTTCCAGCACAGAGCGTAGGGGGACAGAGTAATCTAATCTCCTATGTGTTTTTATTCTGTCCATATATAGAAGAATATTTAGGACCATCACAGATATTTCACATTGTTAGTTCTGCCAACTATCAGCAGATAGAAGCTTTGTTATCTCTATTCCTGTTTTGTTTTTACATTTCATTGTGAGATATAACTAGGGAGACCAGGTATCTGGGTTTTCTCTAGACAGTCCCAGTTTAGACCTGTTCTCCAAGCACAATTACTAACATTACCTTTCTTCACTCTCAAAGGTTTGTAGAATAAATTCTATGGTCCCTTTATATATATGTACAGAAAAGTGCTAAGTATGTATTAGTCAGTTTAACTATAGCTATAAAGAACACACTTGTGGGGCTTCCCTGGTGGCGCAGTGGTTGAGAGTCCGCCTGCCGATGCAGGGGACACGGGTTCGTGCCCCGGTCCGGGAAGATCCCACATGCTGCGGAGCGGCTGGGCCTGTGAGCCATGGCCGCTGAGCCTGGTGCGTCCAGAGCCTGTGCTCCGCAACGGGAGAGGCCACAGCAGTGAGAGGCCCGTGTACCGCAAAACAAACAAACAAAAAAAGAACACACTTGTGTAACTGCTACCCCAGTCAAGAAATGAAACATTGCCAGCCACTAGAAGTCTATTTCCCAATCACAACTCTATCTCTCTTCCTTAGAGTTAACCACTATCCTGCTTTTGATGATAACTATTTTCCTACTTTTTATACTAATGAAAGCTAAATTACTAAAGCCAAAAATGCCTACAAAGATTTCCTTCCAATTATGATTCTTCTATTTATTTTACATACTTTAGGTGTGGGTAATTTCGTATTTATGTTACTAATAGATATCTTTGAAAGTATATTTGTATTTTAGTATATGACTACAAGGTTGTAAGTAATCATTTCTGAAGAGACATGTTGTGTTTTTGTTATTTATTTATTACCCTGTGATTTAATGAAGAAGACACAGCTCTTGGCCTCAGGAATTTGATTAACAAGCAATTACAATACAAACTATTCAGTGCAATAATGGGAACATGTACAAGATGTGGCTGTAGGACATTACCTAGCCTTGGGGATGAGAGGGAAAACTTTCACTAGAAGGTGATGTTTTATTTGAGTTCTGAAGACAAGTAGGAATTATGCAGGTAAAGGTGGTGGGTGAATTAAAGGCAGAACACTTGGGTTACTTTCCAAACAACAATAACAAAAACAGCCCAGAAATAAGAAAAGTATGGCACAGTTAGGTTACTATAAGTTGTTCCCTGCAGTTGGAACACAGAGAGTGTTCTGTGTGGTCTCTCATGGTTGGAGAAGTATATCTTTTGGGTCATTGTATTTTGCACATACATTTCGAGGCAGAAGCCAGATCATGTAAGGCCTTAGTGTCATTCTGAGTTTGGTCCTGAGGGCAATAAAAACACTTCAAAGAGTTCTAAGCAGTGAGTGAGCAACATGGCAACATGACCATATTTGCATTTTTGAAAGGTTATTCTTACTACGGAATTAGAGAGAGTATTTAAATGGGCAATCCTAGAGGCAGGGAAACTTGGACTGTAGACTGTTGCAGTCATCCACTTGTGAAAGGATGGGCTTGAGCTAAGCCAGAGGAAATGAGAAGGGAGAGAAGTAGATGGCTTTAAGAGACAGTTGGGGACAGAATCAACAGGTTTTTAATGATTGATTTTATGTGGAGTTTGAGGGAGAGGGAAATAAAAGATGATGCTCAGATTTCAGCAGGAGGTGGGGAGCAAAGACAGTGACACAGGTTTGGAGAGGAAATTATTAGCAAGGTGTTGAATTGGTTGAGTTTGAAGTATCTGTGAGGCATTCAAAAGGAAATGACCTTGGGTCTGGAGCTCTGGAGAGAAATTCAGGGTGGAGATAGTCATTAGGGAACAACAGCTTTTAGGTGGTAAGTGAAGCCATTCATATGGACCCTAATATGATATTTAAAAATTTCTGAGATGGAAAATGTTAATAAATTGTGTTCATTGTCTAGTACCATGACATTCTTAGGGAATTAGTCTTTTGGTGTTAAAGCTTCCAAGAAATATTCACACAAAACATTTTCACGATCTGTTTTAGTTTTTATCAGTTTGGGTTTTTTTAGCTCTTTGGTTGGTTGTTTTTTCTTTTTCTTCCTTTTTCACATTATCCGAGTTTTAATCACAAAATGTGCCAACTATAGCAATAAACACAATAAAATGAAGTTGTTATAGAACTTTTGGAACTAAAGCAACATTCATACATTTATTAGGGATTAGCAAATTAGGAGAAGTATAAAAGGTCCCAGGTTTATATGTTTAGATTTCTTCCAGTTCTAGAAATAAAATATGTATGGAAAAGTCTTTTAGGAAAAAGGTGTATTTTTAAAATAATATAAATTGAAAATATTTGTTGTTAATTTTCTGCTTATTTTCAGTTTACAGAGGTACTTACAACTTCATAAATCAAATAATTTAGCTGTATGTATACCATAAGTATTTTCAGGTATACATATAGAAATGTATCTGATTTTTCTTAGTGTTACACTGTTTTATCATAAGACCACTATAACTTTCTGCTATGCAATTCTAATGTACTTAGATATATTTTAATATCTCAGATATCCCCAGAATGAGCAATTTCCCCTCAAAAATGTACTTATTTAAAATACTTTCTTTCAGAATATTATAGTAGCACTTAAGTTTAGCAGTAATTTACTAATGGTTTAATACTAATTTATTCCCTAATTTGGATCTTCAATGTAGTTTTTTTGTATTGTTATTATTTGGAATGAGCTATAACCATCTTAGGTCTTGTGCTATGTAAGCAAGCATATAATTTAATTTTTGATTACTATGATAATAATTAGATACAGTATGATATATATTACATTTGTTTTACTTATAGGAAAATGGTTCTCCTGAAGAACATGCAGTCTATGTGTGGGACCATTTCATAGCCCAATCTGCAGCTGAGAATGTATTTTTTGTTGCTCATAGCTATGGAGGACTTGCTTTTGTTGAACTGGTAAGTGCATATTTAACTCTTGCTAATTTCCAAACTCCTTACAGATTTATCCCCTCCACTCCCTTTTTCGTGGTGTCATTACTTTAAATTATTTTATAAAGGATGAAAATTATGTATTTTGAGTAAATAATTTTATGATGTTTAAAAAGAGTATATTTCTTTATTGTGGTAGAACTTTTCAGTGCTAACCAGAAAGCTTTTTGCCTGTTCCTTATTTATGTATTACCTTTTTTTTTAACATCTTTATTGGAGTATAATTGCTTTACAATGGTGTGTTAGTTTCTGCTGTATAACAAAGTGAATCAGCTATATATATACATATATCCCCATATCTACTCCCTCTTGCATCTCCCTCCCACCCTCCCTATCCCACCCCTCTAGGTGGTCACAAAGCACCGAGCTGATCTCCCTGTGCTTTGTGGCTGCTTCCCACTATACATATTACTTTTTAACTTCTACATTATAGCCCCACTTTCCATACATTTTATATTTGTGATTCTTGTTTTAATGGGTACATCGTTGAAGCATTATTATCTGTAAAGTGTTTAAAATTTCAGTAGACCCTTTAACTGACAAAACTGCTATCTCTTCAAGTTAGTACTTGATCAGAATCCATGTAATTAGTATTAAAACTATTAGAAAGCTCCCATTAATCTAAGTGGGACTCAATGCTTGGTCTTAAAAATCTTTGCATTTCAAAATAATCTGATTCCTAGGGTGAAGATTATGTGTACATAGTGGAAAAATTATCAAGATTTCTAAATTTGGTCAGTATTATATGCAGTATTGCAGTTAGCACACTTTGTGCAGGTATGAATGATTAATGATATATAATCAGTCCTAAAAATGTGCTCCATGTCCATTACCCCTTATGTCACAGGAAGGTACCAGTGCTCTAATAAAATGGTTAATTTGATAAAAGTGCATTTGATAATTTTAAATCCAAATGGCCTAAAGTGGACATTAAAAGCCGGCGCAGCATTGGTTGTCTAATTTTTATGTTTCTAAACTTTGCTGTGTATTTCTCTTCATCATGGAAATTAAATATATTTCCATGGTCTTTTCAACTTTCCCACACCTTATTGCTTACCCACATGATTTAGGTATAAAACTAGCGGTGACACCGGAGAACACTTTAGCTGACCTAAATTTACAAATACTGTGCTCTCTTAAGATCAGTAAATAAATCATTTATTTCTTAAATTGATTTCACTTTTTTTGAAATTATATTCAAGTACTTTTAACTGCTGAATTTATTTATTTTAATACATAATGGGTATCTTAAGATAGCTCTCTAACATACAAGTATGACGTCCTTTTTAAAATGTGAATGTTGCTTTTCAAATAGTTCTTTTAACCATACAGATATAGATGTATACAAACACACACGTATATAGCTGATATATATGTACCTTATGTTTTCTTTCTGTAAGCATTAAATTACATAAAACATGAAATTTCATGACTTACAGAATAGCTTAAAATATGTCTGAAGGCCTGTAAGACTTCAAATTTCAGATTTCTGTAAAACATAAATTTCCATATTTTTACCTTAAGACAGTTAACGAAAACCTTTTGTACATCAAATTTGGAATTTAAGTGAATTTTGGACAGTTTTAGAAATGAATTTAAGATGCCAGAGTAACAGATGACCAGTGTGTCAGTCTTATTTTGCCTGTCCTTCTTGTCACACACTGGTGGATATTTCTGCACTTTTGTTCCACTTTAATATAAAGCACACAGATGTTTCAGAACAAGACTTGACTTCTGACCTTGAGGCTATTAGGGTCAGGGTCCTCAGGGCCTGTGAAATTATCACAAGCTGAGCTAAAGTTTTTCTCCATCACAGGAAGTAACCAGTAAGTAAGAAGTTAAAAAGGAGCTTTGTCAGAGAGACAAGATGGTCTCAGTAAGGGTCAGCTTCTGTAGTCTGCTATCTCTGCAGGAGGTGCATGCATGGGAGGAGGAATATAATATAACCACTGGCACATCACATATCTGACAGGCAACACCAGGACTGAGAAGTCTATTTAACGTAATATACCTTGTTTAGGTTTTAAAATATTAATGGCGATTATCTCAACTTCGTATATTTGCTACTTTTTGTCAAGTAACTTTGATAGGGGTATGTAAAGAAGGTGTATAGATGGTGGAAGCTGAAGAAAAAGTAGTTTATGACCTATTGAAAAAAATTTCTCTAAATAAATAACATTGTACACTAAGTTTTACATAAATTTTTGACAATGCTTGATTAATATATTTAAGACCATTGTGTTTCTACTTAGTTTCAAGGATTTTTGAAAGATAGCATTGATAAACAACAAAAAAAATTGAAATATGTTTAAACCTTTTGTTTTTGCCTAAAGCTGAATAATATTCTTTCCTATTCTCCCCATTATTCTTAGAGGAAAACTCATGGTGTTTAAAATGTTGACAAATATTCTCTCAGGATTTCTCAACATATGTGTATTATATGAAATTGTTTTACATGGATTAAAATATTTAATATTAACTTTACAAGGAAGTGAGTTGTGGACATCTTAAATTACGGTTTAGTTTTTTATCTCAATAGTACATAATGCACATCAGACATGAAATCTTTTGGATTTCAGTAAAGTTTAACTTTTTAAAAATTATCATAAAATTTTCCTCCTGATTCAAGACTCTACACACACAAACACACACATACACAAACCCCTTATAGATGGAACAGCGCTAGTTTGTAGCATTATGTTTGAATGCATGGAGATTGTTCTTCTACCATCCTCATTCAAGTTCACATTCCTTTTTAGGTCATGAATTTTAAGAAAATTTATTTTAGATGTGAACTGTGTGACTAGTACATTTTCAATATTACGTGTAATTACTTGTAGTGCTTATTGTTTAAAAACAGGTACCAGTCAGGACCCATGCTAAAATGTATCTTGCTATTTATTAAGTTAAAATTACGTATAATTGGAGTTTAAAATTAAGGTACTACTAATAGAAATCTGAAAAATTACTTTTAAATTTAGAGCACAAAATAGTTGTGGAGCTTTTGTATTTTGCTAATTGTTGTTTTTGAAAACTGAGAACATAATTTATTATTATATCCTATTTTGAAGAGCTAAAATTTGCCTGAAGAATACAAGAGGTAGTTAAGAGATTTATTTTCAAAACCAGTGTTCAGTTATGGTAGTAAATATTGGAATTTGATCAGGCCTAAGCTCATAAAACAGTATACAGTTGACTATAATAATGAGAAAAGTCATACTAAAAATATGCTTTTCACTGCTTTCATTCCCATTATATGGTAACAACTCACGTTTCTAATTCTCTAAACTTTCTGTAATCCTAGTAAAAATAGATGCTGTTAAGACAGCTCTGGTAACAATCCTAGCATTCAGTCATTAAAGCAAAAGGGAAGAACTATTTATTTTATGAATTGATAATGAATTTTAAAAGTAACATACCTACTCTATGCTATCTCTTCTGTGTATTTAAAAATAATGCCAATATATAATGCTACCATTATTAAAACATCATTTTCGAAGCTTTAAATTTCTAAGAAATTCTATTTTATATGTGGTAGATAGAATTAGTAGTCATAATCAACAGTCATTTACCAAATTCATTTAGAAAAACATCTACAACTAGTGCAGCTTGCTTTTGCCTTATATTAGTGGTTAAAAATTTAAACTCATTTGTTAGAAATTAGCTGTCAAAAAACAATGCAGTTTTTAAGCTTTTTCATAGTCTCTTTCACCGCCATTTTATGAAGTGATTCCATTGCTTCCATACTTGGTCATTTCAGAGTGCTTTGCTCTTGTCATTGTAGATGATGGTTAGTTTGACAAAATCAAGCAAGCTTAAAATTTTCTTTTATTTGCAAATGAGTTAGCTTCCTTGTCAATGCCCAGTTTCCAATCTTAACTCACCTTACCTTCCCTGTTTGCAGTGCTCTGTACATCAATTTGCATTCAGATTTCTTTCCTTAGTCAAAGTGAGATTGTTGATATTTCTTTTAGAACACATTAGACAATTTTAGCAAATATATCATCTCAGCTGATATAAAATTAGTATTTTTCATATTACTTTTATTTTCTTTTCCATGTTATCAGTGGTATGTTCTCAGCCACCATCAAAAACATCTCTTAGAAATGTGTGAAAACTGCACCTTTTGAAAGTGTATCTCTACCCACTTTTGATTTTGGTTTCTCCATGCTTGTCAGCACTTGATTGGCACCTCACTTGCATGTGAATTAAGGAATGAAGGGAACTCTATTTTCCTGCCATTGTTCCATGCTGGGCTCTCTAGCCTCCAGGCAGCCTAAGCTGACCTTCAGTAGCTGATAGAGGACTATTTTTTGGACTTAGCTGTGTGAGGACACTCAACCTCAGTCTACTCTAAGTTGATCTTTTAAAATTGCCTAGAGCATGATTTGGGTTTACACTGAAAAGAAAATGGAATGGGACTAAAAGAATTAGTTTTTACCTTTAGTGACATGAGTTAACTATGACCTTAAAGAAACATCATTTACATTTTGTCTACAAAGAACAAAGCAAATTGGATAGTAGCATATCTACTTAATGTGATCAATGCTAAAAAATGGGCTGCTGGGAATGAAGAATTGAGGAGAGGTAGAATAAGGGCAGATAAACAAAGAAAAATTGATCCATTAGAGTATCAAAACAATTCAGGCCAAAAACACTTCTTACAAACCTACTTTAAAATGTAAGTAATTCAGTAAAAATAAGTCACCATTTGTAATATAACTTGAATTTCTGAGTTGGCTGCCTACATGATACAAATAGCATGTTAATGCATGGGATGGTTACAACTTGTATGGAATGCTATCTTAATTCTCTAGTTGTTGTTTTTTTTTTTTTTTTTTCGCCGTTACGCGGGCCTCTCACTGCTGTGGCCTCTCCCGCTGCGGAGCACAGGCTCCGGACGCGCAGGCTCAGCGGCCATGGCTCACGGGCCCAGCCGCTCCGCGGCATGTGGGATCTTCCCGGAC